TCGTTGAGTGGATTTTGCTGAGACTCGCCCAGTTGAGCTAAGTAAACATTTGAGTTGAGAATCAATGTTATTGCCTCATGATTAGTTTTAGCATCTAGAAAATTTAGTTCCATGTTAAGTAACAAAAAGTTTTCGTTGAAGGCCATCAGCACCGTTGGCCATGCAAGAGTATCGTCGATCACACTACGAAATGAAATCGCACGACTCCACTTCAACTGAACGCACAACGAATCGTCCGTACACAAGCACGTCTGCATCCAAAGAGATATCTCATTACGACTCGAGCAAAGACAATTTGCAACGATCCTCTCAGAAACAGCAACCAGACCACACGGTGACGACTGTTGTTACGAGTTCTGGTGGTGAATTCGATCGAAAGGCTGAAATGGCCGAGGTAAGACGATGAATTGTGATGCGTTTGATCGCTACCGGTTGCGGCACAAGAGAAAACAAGTTCTTCGGAATTATCCTAATAACTGCTTCACAATTGCACGTTTGAAGAGCGCTTCAGTGGTGTATTAAAAATTTGATGAGGTCTCAGTTTCTGCTCACCGATGACAGTCACCTCACGAGCACATCGCATGAGTTTGTCTATTTTGTATTTTTGCTATTTCGAGTGGTCACGTTTGGAACATTTTAAGGTGTCTACTGCTCACAGTAACTTCTCTGCAGGTACTTCCCAGAGGAATGGTTGCAAATACGCAAGCGAATACGGAAGGAACGTACATGGATCGCGAAGGACGCAATGTTAACTACAGACGTGAATTGGCCACATCGGTTGATCCAAATCGTGAATGTTCACTGCTCAAGGAAGAAGAGAGACGTATCGTTGAGACACCCCTTGAACCGGGCATTATTTCTAGGTTTTTATCACATTCCATATCTTTTCGCTTATGTTCATTGAGATATTGCATTAGAAATTGTAAGGAACAAAGCCCAGAATCGTCGTGAAGAGTTCTTCGAACATATATCGACTATCCGAATATTCATTTGATCACTTCTGCTTTCATCATATCCATACCCTCAAAAACACGACTTCACGTCGGTGGAGTATCATTGGCATGAAAAGCACAGAAACTCGTTTGCAGATGGCTAATTGGATGGGTAATTAGCATGAATACGGTGGTTTGGAATGGTAAAAAATGGGGAAAATTCAATCGTAGAGCGACCAAAATTTTTGGCGTTGTAATTAAAGGAGGAGTGAAGAAATAAGACAAGCTCAATGAATTGATTAAGTAAACTTTGCAGACATGTAACAACCAAGTACTACAAGAAGAAAACTGTAACCGATACGACCACAACAACGACGAACGCACCATGATGGATTTGTGTCAAAATCAAGCAAAGAAACCATACATCGATCAAATTGAATATGCGCTACTACGATCGACGTTTGAACGAAACCCTTTAGCGAATGACATCCTACTTTGCAGTCTTCTTTCTTGATTGTTGTTGAAAAATTGCCATGAAAAAAAAANCTTACTGGCTTATATGAGTAGCTTTCTCGAAACGATTACCAATGAAATGCTCGATTTTCTTTGAAACAACATTTGTATGCGACCCAATTCTTTGTGCTCATCTCTATTAAAATGCATTCTGTTATTTATTTGGAACTGAAATATGCATGCATGTGTGTGTCTGTTTTTTATGTGTTCTGCAGTGGCTTCTTAGAATTAGCCGTTCCATTTCAGTCATTTCTCTCGTTCATTTATTTGTATTCTGAATTGTATTTGTGGCTTTCGCGACAAAGGTGGCTTCATAGAGTGGTCATAAATTTAAATATTTTTCTTCCTGACAAAAACATTTTTAGCGCCTGAAAAATCCTCTTGCTAAACTCTAATCGTAGGTGTTGTTCGTCGAATCGTCTGTGCTCATCTGCTTTCATGAACATTTTCTTTTCCACAATAATTATCGTCAGATATTTATCGCTTCTGTGATTCTGAAATTTTGCAATGCAACGAAGTGAGTTTGTATTGTGTGTACACGATTAATGAAGAGTTTTATCTGCATTCATATGAGTTGTTTAAAAGGATAGACTGATGAGAGAATCACGCTTCGTTTCGTGATTCCTTGCGTTTGATCGCATCGCGGTGTCCGTCTGAACGTTGCATTCGTTCTCCGATAGTGAATATCTCTCGGAATGTAATAATGAACAATCAGTAAAGTTTTATTCTGCTCACTAATCTAAAATTTTGCAAAATTGTTTAGCCCTACATTGGTAACGTTACACAAGTCAAAATCAAATTGGAACTGTGTTTCAGCCACAAAAGGTGATATGAATAACTTTATTGAATCAACAAATAGGCTGAAAATAACGACAGAATTATTGTCAGTATCTCGAAGAGGATACTGGATGATAACATAACCGAAACGAACTGAATAAATTCAAACAAAATTATCAACTGCTTTGAATGAAATGGTAACCCTAAAAATCCCGTGGCAACAAAAAACAAAGGATTCAACAAGATAACAATTACAAGCGATTCGAAATGGCCAAAATAGACGACCGATAACGACAATGACTGCCCACTGTCAGTTATNCAACAAGATAACAATTACAAGCGATTCGAAATGGCCAAAATAGACGACCGATAACGACGATGACTGCCCACTGTGAGTTATGCCAAGGTTTTGGCCTTCAAAAAATTCCGCCGTCTCAGAATCTCACTGTCGAAATCCAATTTCTGAATGAACTTGGATAGTGAAAATTAATCTGTCATAAAGAACCCAGAATCCACTGCACGTGATTCGAATACGATGAATAGCAATACGAATAAACGCCTGCTCTCAGTCAACAAAATTTGGATACGATACTGAAACAATATTGCACGATCATAACAAAACGACGCGATGTGCTCAATAAAATTATCACAAAACTGACCGAGACATATCGATAACAACACAAAAATCGACACAAATACACGACCAAAATCGCTGACTTCATCATAAAAATACTTTCAAAAAATCATTTCTTCGACGAACTTTCGAACACCAAACAAACCATCTCCACAAGTCAATGAATCTTTCGTCCCAAACCAATGCACTTCATTCGAAAATAGCGATCAACAAACAGAACAACAACAAAAAAA